ATTATCTGAAATAGGACTAAAAATGTTTGAAAATTCAAAAATAAAACTGTCATGTTTTTATTCCCAAAATAGAACTAATTATTGTCATGTTTTGGTTGTACCAAACTTCAAACATGACAATATTTTCCAAACTTGGCAGTAATTATTAATATTTGGGGAATAAAAAACATGTCAGTCCTATTTTGGAATTTTCAAATTGTTTGTCCTATTTCGGGAATTTTCCCTTATTATTATTATGCTCCCTAATAATGACACAGAGAGAAACCGAATATAATGGTTTCTTTTTTGAACAACGTAGAACATTAACTATTTTCCTTCAATATTTATTGGAAACTATCACGCATCAGCTGGCACTATCTATGAAGCACAAATACCTCCCTGGGGTAGCGTATCGGCGTATCGGATATGTTCCTGTATTTGATACTCTAGGATACCCGTACCGTACGTTCCCGGACCGTATCTGCAATTTTTAAAAGTTTCCATTTTTTTTTGTAATTTTTTGAAAGTTTATGATACTCGTATCCCGACGGATACCCGTATCATTTTTTTTAAAAGACCCAAAATTTACTTAATAAAATTCTAAAAAAATGAAAATCTAAAACTACATTTTACTTGGTAATCAAATAATGGGCCTATATGGCTATATCCGAATTAAGTCATTAACTCATACTCCGAATTGGGTACTTGCACTTTTAATTTCAAGATTGTAATTGTTTGACTTATTTCTCATTTTAAATTTATGACTTATAGACTACATTTATTTTTCGAAATGTACTAGTGTATATGAGAAATATTATGAATTTATTAGTAAGTATCTTAAGAAAGGAAAATGCTTCAATGCAATGAATGAGTAGACGTCATAAGATATTATATGTATATATTTTCAAAAAAAACTATTTTTAATATTTATAAATACACCAATATAACTTTTAATATTTGTAAATACACCCCATAACTTTTAATATTTATAAATATGGCCCTGTATCCATATTCTACTTTTTTGGAGTTTTGACGATCCCTGTTTCCGCGTTTCCGCATACCGGTATCGGTGCTACATAGGCGGGCAAACATCTAATTTATACTCCATATTGTTCCGGTACTTTGAAGACCACAATCTTACCGACAATTCATTTGGGCGGGAACTTAGTCCACAAGTGTTCTTTTGGGTATTTTCCTGAATTAATTTTAGAAATAATACATACAAAATAAATTATTTCGTAACAATAATGATGATTAAATATTGATAAATAACAATGATGTTTGATTATGGTTGTTAAAGATGTGTTTTATAACAATGAAATCATTATTTGACTTTAAAAGACATTTTTAACGACAAATTGCGAGACTTAATTACGACAACTTATTATTAGTTGATGTTAAAAAGACACTTTTAATGATAAATTATATTGTGGGACTTAATAACGACAAATTTTCTAGCATGGTCGTTAAAGATAAATTTTAATAATTAACAATGAACTCACTAGCAGTCTTTTAAAGATACTTTTAATGATATTTATGAGAGTAGTCGTTAATCGTTATAGCATGCCTCTATTCGAACACGAGTTTAGAGACATTTGATATATACAGTTTGAATACAAGTCTTACAACTCCATTTTTTTTTTCCAACAAGGTTAAAAAGATTAAAATGGAACAAATACAACCAGGTTAAATACTTAGCCTGCTTGATATCAGTTTGACATTCTTTTTGAATTTTAGTACAATATATACCATCCATTAGTATTTGGTAAGTGGGGCATGAATATGAGTTTTCAAACTCGATATGATCTTTTTAACGAGATAAATAAGCTTAAAACGAAACACACAATGCAATAACGTACTATCAAATCAAACAACACACACCTGGAGTCAACTGCATGTAATATATATGCACCCATTCTTAAATTAAACCTTTGGTACATTAAGGAATCATATGTGTGTTATAACTCCAATCTTTCTAGTGAGAAAAAGGCTGCAAACTGAAAAAAATAAAGACAAATCTAGGGAAAACTATCAAATAAGCCCCCGTACTGTGCCGAAAAGTCGATTAGGCCCTCGTACTTTACAAACACTCAATTAAGTCCTCGAACTATTAAAAAACGTTCCATTGAGCCCTTTTGGTCAGTAAGTAACCGGTTTCCCGGTTAAACGGAGACGACAGCGACGATGTGCTCGGACCCCAGCAACAACGGCTGCCGGGAAACGGGTTACATTTTACCGAGAAACAGGTTACTTACCGACCGAAAGGACTTAATTGAACGTTTTTTAATAGTTCGAGAACTTAATTGAGTGTTTGTAAAGTACGAGGGCCTAATCGACTTTTTCGATATAGTACGGGAGCTTATTTGACAGTTTTCCCAAAAATCTAATCAAACGAAGTACTCATATCATTTTATGTAAATAGAGCCCATTTGGAGCGAACATAATAGCTATTAGAGCATCTCTGATGCTCATATAGTCATATATATGGCACTGCTGCTTATGTCGCTAAAAATAGAGAATGTCTAGATTAAATATCAGTAGAATGCTGATGTCTATTTGGAGGGTACTCTAGTGTAGAAGGGGAACAACACAAAAATAAATGAAAAATTGATGCAAGAAGAAAGAATAGCTCGTATAGTACACCATAAGGGCATCCCCATTCATGAGTTTATTTGGGGATCATTTTGATGATGCCGATGATATCTTTGGACATTATGATTGAGAAGTTGAGATTATTTGAATAGATTATTTTGAAAAATATCTGGTATCAAATATCAAAACCGAGATTATTCATCCCAAAGTTCAAGGCTCTTACTCCCATTTTTGAAAACATAATTAGGCTTACCTTTAATGCACTACTCCGGCAATTCTTCAACATACTCCCTCCGTTTCTAAAAGAAAGTCACGGTTTGACTTCGCGATTATTAAGGAAATAAATTGACTTTACTGTAGAAAACACTGTTTAGACACTGTTTGGCACTGTTTGGACACTGTATGGCACTTTTTGGCACTGTTTGACACTGTTTAGATGTAGATTTCTTTGCCAAATAAGGAAATAAGGGAAGTGTGACTTTTATTTTGGCACATCCGAAAAAGGAAAGTGTGAGTTTCTTTTAGAAACGGAGGGAGTATATATTTGTCCTTTTAAAAAAAAAAAGAGAGAAAGCTGCATAACGTTTTAAAAAAATTTACGACTGCAAATGTACACTACGGACTCATTAAAATTTACGGAGTATAAATTCAAACAAGTGACTGTAAACTTTATTTATGTGTGTATGCAGGGGCAGACGAAGTAACATTTTCTATTTTAGCATTAAACTATTTCACTACTTCGAGTTTTTTATGTAAATATTACTAATAATACTTGAGTTTACAAAAAAGTGACTATAAGTCCATAACTACCCATCACGTACAAACAATATAGGAGTAATATATGGTAGGGAAACCACCTTGTTATTTTATTCAATAGTCATATTTTTGTTACAAATATTAAAAGCAGTACTCCCTCCGTCCCGCTATTAACGTCCTACTTTGACCTACACACATATTTAGGAAATAAATTTGACTTTACTGTTTAGACACTGTTTGGCACTGTTTAGACACTGTTTGGCACTGTTTAGACACTGTTTTGCACTGTTTTGCACTGTTTGACACTGTTTTGATGCAGGATAACTTTCCATTTAGGGAAATGAGAAGATGATTTTGGGACGGCCCAAAAAGGAAAGCAGGAAGTTAATAGCGGGACGGAGGGAGTAATATTTGTATAATTTTTTCAAAATTAAACTGTACAAAAATACTTCGATTTTTTGTTGGTTAATCTCTAACCTTTTTTTTTAATATATTAATCTCTAACAAATTAAAAGTTCGATTTACCCGCTCTATGAATATCAATTTGAGGCGCATTATTGCCGGTATTACTGTGGCTTTGCAAGCAAGAAAATACGTCTTGTGAGCAGTGTTCTAAAAGGCTCTGAAAGGCTCCGCGTAGGCGAGCAAAGGCGTAAGGCGCCACAGAAACGCCTCCTGTAGGCATTAGGCGCGAGACAAGGCGAGTAAAATTTTACTGCCTTAATTTTGACCCGCACATAGCCTTTTCAAGCATGGCAGGGCGTTTTTTAAGGATACGAAGGCAAGACGGAGTTATTTATAGGCTTTTGTGAGGAGGAATGCTCCTCTCCCACCGTGTGGGATTTTTGAATGGAAAAGGAGTACGGGTGATTTGGGGTGAAGTTAGCCACAGCTCCACTCATGGCACTCAACTCAAAGCTCCATTTTTTCTTTTGAACGGAACTCAAAGCTTTATTGAGAAACATGTAAAATTATGCAACCTTATATATTATTATTATATATTATTATTATATTAAATTATGCAACCTTATATTAGTATATTATTATTAATATTATTATTATTAATATTATTATTATATTATTATAAGCTTAACCCAAACACGCTAAACAGCTACTTTGTGCTATGTACTCCGTATTATTATTGTTAATTATTTATATTAATATTATTACTGTTCTAATTATACTATTGTTGTAGTTTGTCGTTATCATCATCAACATCCTCATTGTTACGGAGTATCGTTTTTAGTACGGAGTATATGTTTTTCGTAAAATATTACTATAATAAAAGTTATAGAGAAAAAATGTGACTAAAATGACTCTAAATATATATTTTTGGTCGCTACAATGTAAAATTTAAACATATTTATCATCACTAAAAGTTACTAGAGAACATTTTTATTCACGGTTTGTTATTTTAGTCATATACTACGTATTAAGTGTTATTTAATTTCTCTGTAGTAATATTTTATCGTTCAACTGTTTTTTTCGATTCTAGTTTTCTAGAAATTGGTATATTTGTATTTGTTGCATTTGATCTTAATTTGTTGAAAATGGGAAAAACATGATGTTCTTGAATAACATTACTTAATAATAAATTGAAAATTTTAAAAGTTAGCTCTATAAAAATTAAAATAAATGATAAAAAATCAAAACGTCTTGCCGGCCTTCTGCCTTTGAGAAAACCCCACTTCTTACCACTACCAATCGGATCTTTCAGGCTCCAATTTCAGCTCGGATATTCTAATTGGAGAAGCAACAATGAATAACTTCGTGAAATCAGGCGGTCTCTGTAAGGTACGACACTTACTCCTATCCCCTTCGCCGTCAATGGCCGCCCGAGCCATCTCAACTGCATCTTCTCCCCTACTCGGCCAATCCTCTATCCTCAGAAACCATCTCTCCCCTCAAAAGCCATCTCCTTTCCTCTACAACTCCGCCCGCCATTTCCGTAATGCTCGGGATCCTAGTGCCAGGCATGTCTTCGTTTCCTTCGCTGTTTCTACCATTTTATCGACTTCTGTTGAAAATTGTAAGCTATTTCGTAGATATTGTAATTTTTTACCTTTAGTTTAGGCATGAGATTTCGCCACCAATGAACTGGGGAGTTCGGATTGTGCCGGAGAAGAAGGCGTTTGTAATAGAGCGATTCGGCAAGTACGCTAAGACATTGACTCCTGGAATTCACGTGCTGATGCCTTTTGTAGACAGAATTGCTTATGTGCATTCCCTCAAGGAAGAGGCCATTCAAATTCCGGATCAATCGGCCATTACCAAGGACAATGTCAGCATCCTTATAGACGGTGTTCTCTACGTCAAGGTAACTCCCCCCCCCCCCCCCCCCTCTCATTTTATCATTTGTTTTGTTTAAACGTTCAAACTCTTGTACGCACATTCTGCTTTTGTTGTTGTTTGTATTGTTTCATTTGGGTAATCATTGCAGATAGTTGATCCTAAACTGGCATCATATGGAGTTGAGAATCCATTATATGCTGTGATTCAGCTTGCACAAACAACTATGCGGAGTGAGCTCGGCAAGATAACGCTGGACAAGACTTTCGAAGAAAGAGATACTCTAAATGAAAAGATAGTGGTGAGATTTCGGTTACAGTTCAGTTTCTATATTAACACTACAAATCGCTTAGTACATGAGTCATGACATGCCATTAGACTGACCTGTGACTAGCAAGTGAGCTTTATTCTTCCAAAGAAAACTTAATATCTGAGTTTTACTCTCCCATATATTTCCTATTGTTGCCTTTACTCCTTAGTTGATAAGTAGTTAATGTGCAATGTGCAATGTGCAGTGTGTCCAGTGTCATTTGGTTTTATTCAAGGTTTATTCTCTAATCCAGGATAGCTTGTAAATGTCATGATGTACCTTTTTGTGTGTGTGTGTGCCTGTTTGGGACTGGATCAAAATTCATGACCTATTGAGAAAGTAATACTTCCTCTGTTCTTTTTAAGTTGCAATGTTTTCATTTTCATGTTTGCCAATGCACAACTTTGACCATTCATGTACTATCCTCCGTTCCAAATTAGATGCAACATAGCCAATGGCACACAAATAAAGACAAAGGCGCAAAGTAATTTGCTCCCTATTCTACCCTTCTTCTGCACGCATCCTCCCTCATCTCTCCAAAGAGTATGAGTGAATAACTGGAGGTCTGGAGTCCAAGGAAGTACCGCACTGCAATCCCCCCCCCCCCTCTCATACACCCTTTCCTTCTTCCAATACAAACACAGTAGTGCATCTACATATTTTTCAAATTTCTTTGTAATTTGTTTATATCCACTATTGAAGTCTCCCAAAGAATTGCTCTAATTATTGTTATTTAACAAATCTGTTTCTCGTTGTTGTTGTTTTTGCTGGTTTACTACTGATTCAAACGAGTCCTAATTATCTCAGTTCATCATCATAAGAGCTTCTTTAAGAGTAACCACTACATAGTGTTTTATCAGACCAGGTCTTGATGGAAGTAAATTTAATTTGTGTCGTCCTCACACAGGATTTTTTGCTGTAACTTCAAACAAAATAAATGAAATGAAAAGAAAGAAGAAATTGGAGGAAAGGATGAAGAAATAACGAATCCAGAAGAGAAAGGGATGTGCATAACAGTAGACTAGGGAATGAGAGAGGGAAGAAATGGGAAAGATGAAGGGGTGGGCAGATGGGTGAGAAGCTCGGGTGGAAGGAATTTGTGGTGCCGATGGGTTTAGTATGAAGCATTACTTTATTGGTTTTAAGGGTAATATAGTCATTGTGGTTATTTCTTATTACTAAAAAAAAGGTAATGTTGCAATTATTTTGAAACTATTAAAAAAGGAAAGTGTTGCAACTTAAAAAGAACAGAGGGAGTATATCGTAATTATCGTTCCTTTTTAGTATAAAAATAAAAAAGTTCATATTTTGAAAATTTAAAAATTAGAGGAGTTTAATAATATTTTTCAAAAAATAAATTTCTAATATACGTAGTATTAATAAGTAAAATGTTGTCAAAGTATAGCATGTGAATAGTGTAAAACTCAACATGTTGCATCTATTTAAGAATGGAGGCAGTAGCCATTAACTCATATGATTGTTAGGAATAGTATATGAAAGCTTACGTGTATCTCTGTGTAATAGAAATGTAGGTAATAGTCTGTTAGGCTTCTGTTATGGTTAGTTCTAAGTCGGTTAAGACTTTATGTGTATAAATATTCTGTAACAACTAACAACTCATTCTCAATAAGATTCCTTTACTTCTATCTTCTTCCTTGCTCTTATTCTAATATGGTATGAGAGCTTTGCTCAGTTTCTCCAGTAATCTTCACTCATCCTTGACCAATCAAACTTGACTCAATTCAAATACTCCATATATCTTATAAACCCATACTATGCCAATTTTGAGCTGCAAGTTATCCTTAATACCATTTGTACAATTGTACTAAACCTGGCTTAGAAAAAAAACTGGCTTAGAATTGTTAGAAAAACATATGCTCTTTATCCTTCCACTGGTATTGTGTGCCTCGTAACTGATTGATGTGGAAACGTACTGCTTGCCGGTGCTACTGCATTCAACTTATATTTTGCATCCTCATAGCTTTGAGGTTTGGGTTTGACTACTGCAAATTGTATTTCCCCACAGATGGCTATCAATGATGCTGCCAGAGATTGGGGATTGAAGTGTCTCCGTTATGAAATAAGTATGCAACTTTATTATTCCTCATCACACCTGATTGTATGTTGTCAATCAATGTCATTGCTTGAGAAATTACATATCTCTCTTTTTCAGGGGATATATCTCCTCCTCGTGGGGTTAGGGCAGCTATGGAGATGCAAGCAGAAGCTGAACGTAAGAAAAGGGCTCAAATTCTGGAATCAGAAGGTAGCAGATTTGGACCCTTATGGTTATTTTTATTCATGTCTTTTTAGCATCCACAGTGGGGGTGACCTATTAATAGGGAAGAAAGGCACATGTTAGCATTCTTTTCGTTCTGAAGAAAACACATAATCTTTATTTGTAAGTCTTGCAGTCACTTTTAAATAAATTATGACCTTTGGTGCATTGTGTTTGTGCAGGGCAAATGCAAGCGAATATTAATATTGCAGATGGAAGGAAAAGTGCTGTGATCCTTGAATCAGAAGCTGCAAAAATGGACCAGGTTAACAGAGCTCAAGGTAGGTAGTTTCGAATAAAAGTGGAATACTTTATTCTGCGTATTTTCAACTTCAATCTTAACTGCACTCCCCATGAGTAAGAAAATAAGGAGGATTAAAAATGAAAATGAAAAAGGTTAATCAAATAGTTGAATTGTTGTGGCTTTTATGAAATTGTCACAGATTTAATGATGTTTTGTGGTTTCTATGTTTGTGTGAACAAGGTGAAGCTGAAGCCATTCTTGCCCGAGCACAAGCAACAGCAAAAGGAATTGCTGTGGTTTCTCAATCACTCAAAGAACACGGGGGTGCAGAGGTGAGACTCTTCATACTTTTGGGCTATGTATAGATATCAGAAACTGGTAAAAGTATATTAAGGGTCCATTTGGGATTTCGGAAATGCTACATAAAATACAGGGAAAATATAGAAGGAATTTGAAAGAAAAGAAAATGTAGGGGAATTTGGGGGAAATAAAGCAAGGTTTCAAATGCAATAAATTTACTTTTGATATTTGTTCAAACTTCAAACTCATCTTGGGAAATACGAGGGAAAAGATGAAATTGTTGTCTTGGACTTTATGAAATCTTACATTTTTCCAGATTTCTTAGCCTTTTTATCAATATCTTAAGTTGCTGTCTCAACTCAATTTATTGAGTTTGAACTTTGAAAATTGAAACAATTGTTTATTTTCCCCATTGTTCTGTCCTTCCGAATCTCCTGATAAAATGCCCCACATATTTTATTTCCTCTGCATATCCCAAGTTCCAAATGGACCCTTGTGGTTTCAAGAACCAACACATTTTGTCTAATTTCAATACTCCTGTTTCCAGGCAGCAAGTCTGAGAATTGCCGAGCAGTACATTCAAGCGTTCAGCAATGTTGCAAAGGAGGTGAGGCAAAGTTTTCTCGTTTGAATTAGCAGTATTGTTGTTCGCAAAATTTATGTATGTATTCTCATTATTCAAAATAGGGCACAACACTATTGCTTCCAACGAGTGCCTCTGACCCAGCAAGCATGATTTCTCAAGCTCTTAGCATCTACAAAGGCTTAGTAACCCAAAATTCTACTGGCGGGCCCACTAAGATCTCTGAAAACAAAGATGAGCAGACTTTGTCACCTGGAATTTATGATAAAAAGTGGTCCACGACTCATAATAAACCTACCGATGAGGATCAGACAAGTGAACCCGTTTTCTCACTTAATAAAACCCACAACCACAAGAAGGATTAAATGGTATACCACACAGCTTGGAAAAATTCTCTGGCCTTTTAAGTATTTTTGTTCTGCACTTCTGCCGAATGTTGATCGAAGAAGATTGATAAGAGAATGACTGTTTTATACTAGTTGTAAAATTGTTTGAACCGTCACCTTAATTTTTGGTACCATGGAAAGGTAGTTAAGCCATCTGATCTGATCCAAGTGTTCTTGATATTAAGATTATACTTTTAAATTGGATGTATCTAATCCAAATCCCTGGGGACGTGCAAAATAAAAATTGATCTTATGATGTACTACTAGAAAATTTGGGCATCAAACTTACTACAAAAATTCTTTTACTTTTAAAAAATAAATTTATTCCTTCCCTTAAATAAGTCATTTCTATAAGTCCTCAAAATCTATTTTGATTTCACAAGCATTTAGGAAAGTTTATTTTTTGTATTGCGTTTTTAGATACAATCATACAATGAAGTACTCCCTCCGTAACTTAAAAACCTTCCCATTTCAAAAGTAGGTAGATTAAGAATACTGAAAGAGGATATAAATTATTGAGAGTAGGGGTGGACTTGGGCCGGGCGGTCCGCCCCCGGAACCAGCCCGAACCGGTTACTGTTGAACTGGCCCGAACTGCCGGACCGGCCAGGGACCGGTCCGGGTAGGCTTGACCCGCTGGGCTTCTGGGCCGGGCTCGGGCCCCTCAAAAGGTGAACCGGCTTGGGCCAAATTTTTTCCTTTTTTTTTTTGAATTTTTTTGAGGTTTTTGGGTTAGGTTGGGTATTTTGGGCCATTTGAGGCGGTTTGGGGGTGAGGGGGGAGGGTTGGGGGTTAATTAGGAAAAGCCAAAAAAATATAAATTGAACTGAGGCCCGACCCAGACCCGGGGGTTACCCGGGCCGGTTCCGGGCCTCCCCTTTCATGAACCGAGGCCCGGCCAGGCCCAGGCCCGAACCGGGCCCAAACCAGCCCGAGTCCACCCCTAATTGAGAATATGATGGGAAGATAGTGGAATAATGTCATGGAATGTAAGATAAATAAATAAAAAGTAGTTGTAATAGTGTATTATTATTAGAATTATTGAGGGTATGATGAGAAAATTTAGAAATGAGAAGATTTTTTTGTTACGAACAAAAAAGGAAAGTGAGAAGATTTTTTTTGTTACGAAGGGAGTAATTAAAGTTATATTATACTCCGTACTAGACAGGACAAAAGTATGAATTGAAAATGGGATTCCAAAAAAGACCAAAAAAAGCTAGAGGATAAGAGGATTGGTAGGACAAAAGTATGAATTGAATATGGGATTCCAAAAAAGACCAAAAAAAGCTAGAGCGGATTGGTAGGCGTCTATTTTTTTAACAGAAATATTGGTAGGCTCTACTAATTTAATGTCAATGGTTGAAGGGAACAAAATTTGGATCTATTGGGATAGAGGAATGTCTGTTTATCAACGTACCCTCCGTCTCACATATATCTTCACACTTCCAAAGTTGGTGAGATTAAGAATAGTGAAAGAGAATATGAATTATTGAGGGTATGATAGGAAGATAGTGAAATAATGTGATAGAATGAAGGATAAATCCAAAAAAAGTAGGTGTAATAGTGTATTATTTTTAAAATTATTGAGAGTATGATGAGAAGATTTAGAAATGGGAGGGAGTAGTATCTATGCATCTAAAATTGTACGGAGTATGTACTTCGTATTAACTTATTCTTTTATTTTTAACTAAAACTAATACGATAGTATATACTTCTTAACTGGTAAAAAAACTAATACGAAGTATATACTTGCCCATTTTATTTGACTCACTTGTGATTTTATTTTCACTTTCCATTCCTTTGGAGTTACGAATAATAAATAGTTTCCACCATTTTCTAACAAAGTTACGTTGGACCAAGCCCTCCTAGTGAGATGCATTTTGTTATTTGGAAATGGCTGTCACGTTTATGGTTATGAGCATACATGAGATTTGATCTCCACCAAGCAAATATCTAAACTTTTAAAAACAGTATTCTTAATTTATTGATTCATGCAGCTCAATTTATGTAGCCCATATAATTCCAACGGCATAACTACAATGTAGGAGGCCTCCCCGCCATTTCCCCTCCAACTTTTCCCTATAAAACCTCCTCCACCTCCATTCTTTCAAACCAGCCTCGGAAATAACAAAGTTCCATCCAATAACAAAACTTACTAATAACAAATAAGGTTTCTACCCTCAGGAAGGCCTTGTAGTGTTTCCAGTTCTCACCTATTCGTCGTTCGTCTCGCCTCGCTCCTCTCGTTACTCGTCCGATAGAGATAAGTAGACATGGGAGCCTGCGCGAGCAAACCCAAGGATTTGGACACACAAGAGGCCCCTGTCCCTGAGGCCCCTCTTTCCCCCAAGAAACCCGAGATCCAGGCTGCTCCCGAGGTATCAAATTGTTCTAGAGTAGTTAGAAAAAAATACCGGGATAGACTGGTATCATATGTAGTAATTCTTACACACAAATAAAGTTTTTTTTAACAAATTTTGTATTTGAGGACTTCTTAACTCTTGCATTATTTCATGTGAAGTGTTACAATTCATGTGCAAGTATGTTTTATACACTACTCTTTAAATTCATTAGAAACAGTACTTTAGTAACATGACAGAGAATAATAACTCTCATCCTGGTTTGATCAATAAGAATCTCCTCAAAGTTTTCTTCAGACTTTCTCTTTTCATCCGTCCCACGTTTTCTACTTATAGCAAAGAATTTGCAAACTTATACATAGTATTATGTTTCTCAACCACACGACTTTCTTTTTTTAGCTCAATATTAAAAATGAGCTAATATTTGGATGGAGAGCAATTGCTATTTGATGGAATTCATTTTTTTATATTCACTTTGCATGCCATCCAATAACATTTTTTAATAATGTACATAATGAATGGAGGAAAAATGGATGCAGGAAAATAAGGAGGATGGAGAGGAGACAAAGAAGGAAGAGCCATTGGTAGATCTAACAGAGCCAGCTGAAGAGGCACCTAAGGCAGAGGAAGTGGCGGTAGAGACAGAAACCCCGAAGGTCGGGGTTGTCTCAGCCGAAACCGCCACGACCGCTGCGGTTGTGGAAAAAGCGACCACCGAGGAAGCTACAAAGGTTGGTGATGAAGAGAAGAAGACAGAAGAAGTAGCAGTTGTTGTTCCTGTAGTTGCTGCCGTGTCGGAGGTCAAAACTGAAACGCCCGTCGCCGCCTAAATTTGATGTTACAATGTAAATCACCGGTGGATAGTTTCGCTTATTTTGTTGTGTTCCATTTTATGATGTTAATATGTTTGAGGCTCAATGTAACAATAACCCCAAAAAAATGAAAAATTAATAATAAGGGAAAATCCCAAAACTAACCCAATTGTGCATCTCTTTTATTTTGCTTTGGATCTGTTGATGATGGATGCCCTATTTTACTCTATATTGTTTATAGAAAATGTTGACATTGGAATTTGGAATATAATTTGTTTTAAGAAAAAAAACTTGATATTTTGTTTTTATTTACCGATTAACATTCATAGTCGTAGCCTGAAGTTATTTTAAGTAATGAATATTTAAGAGAGCTTCTAACATACTTTCTCCTTCTTTTCATGATCCAGTAGGCTACATCCAACTATCCAAGCTATAGAATACCATCCCTAAATAAGAAAATGATAGCTTCGTTCCAATGTTTTTTAACTTCCTATTTTGATTGATACAGGATAATTGCCTGAAAAAAAAATATGCATAACATTGTTCAAAATTTAAAATCAATAAGTCTACGGCTACGTGAGGTGTTTATATGTTTTTTGTGTATATACATGTGGGTCACTCATTTATTAAGGGTTTAAAAATTAAAATATACTCCGTAGTTAACTTTTCAACTCCATACATGAGTGTCACACATCGATGTATATCAAAATGAATACATCTCATGCACCGACCAAATCAGATCATACTAGACCATATTTTAACATTGTAAAATGCACTTGTATCATACATTTACTAAATTAAAACATGCTTGTATTGGCGATTTTGTGTTGATACAACATGGTTTGGTGTTTTGCGATCCCCGCAAACTATTTGGGCACATAACTTTTTCAAATAAAGATTGTGATGGCCTGGTAAATGTTTCTCTTCTCCATCTATAAGTTTTTGTTGGACAATTGGAAATAAAAAAATTCATTTCTTTAATAGAGTGAATTAATTAAGGCATTACAACCCATTAATTAAAACATTGTAAACCACTCAGCATGACCAACATCGTTTTATTCACGGTTCTTTTGCACCATTATTATGATTTTGGGTAAATATTTAAAAATTTATGTAGCTGTTAACATACATTATATTGTCAATTTAAAGCAATTTCTTAATATGAATTTCACAACTTTTGTATTTATCAGAATCGAGGATGACAGTACTAGGTATGCGCCGGTTTCAGGCCGGGCCCCGGGCCGGTCCTTGGCGGGCTTTTTGTGTGTGGCTACAGGCCCGGAATTCCATCGAGTCCGGGCCGGTTCGGTCTCGGGCCGGGTCATTTTTTTTTTTTTTGCTTTTCTAATTAACCCCCCCCCCCCCCCCCCAAACACCCAGCCTAACCGGCCTAACACAAAAAAATGAAGAAAAAAGGCCCAGACTGGGCGCGGCCCGGTCGGGCTGGTTCCTAAGGAAGGTCAGTCCAGAACCGCCTCGCCCTAACACCCCGGGCCATTCCTAGGCCCGGTACCGGTACCGGTACCGCTTCCCCGGTCTAGTCCGGTCTCGCACAGTGCTGGCCCGGTTCTTGGGCCGATCGGACCGGTCCCAGGCCATGGCTAGATGACACTATCAAAATGACAATGCTCAATATGATAATACGAAGTATAACTAGCCGTTTAGGATGAAGTAAAATATCAATATGCTCAACTCACTCCAACTCCAGTTTAATAGATACATACGCACAAAACTAAATATAAATACAAATACATTATACAATGGTTTCCTAATGATCCTGCTAAAACATTTTTAGTAAGAGGTAGGAACTCAACCGTTAACCAATATACATCGAATTGTTAAGAACTTGTAACTTAATAATATGAATCATACTGAATTGGCTCAGAACAATTCATTTCAATTGATTTTATACTTCTCAATTCTAAAATCTCAACCCTACTACATGCGACCCCTTAGAGTATCTCCAATATCACAATATGTACGGTGTACATGTGACATGAGAGAGACAAACATATGAACATCGGTAAGTAAAATATTTCTCTCCTTGTGTGAATAGTCTTATATGTTTTCCGTAAGTTTTTCTCCACAATGTCAAAAAAAATGTCTAGAT